CCCTCATCTAAGAGGCTGGGAGAAAGTGGGCAAGATGAGGTGGTGTAACCACTGTAATATTGATCATCTTATTTGTAGGAGGTCTCCTCTAGCAGGTTGGCTGTAAACTGCTCACAAAGGCCACAGGAGCAGCAGTTGGGTCCTGCTGTTCAAACTGCTGCTTCTTTAAGCCTCAGTCTAGCAAACCACTCATATCTTTCTCTCTTTCTCACTAGTTACCTTTTTCAAGCAAAATTTCTATTTAGCAAAAATAACCTACCTTTTTGTAATTGAGGTTCCCATCTCTGGATTTTTTGGTGACTAAAGCTCAGAGATCCTGCCAATAGTAGTTTAGAGACTTCAAAATAAAAAGAACTCTTTATCAGCCTGTAATTATTTTCTAAAGTCCTGGACTTCCCCCAGTTAGAATTTAGAAATAGCTTAGAGAAGGCTATTCAAATTGTTTTCAAACAAGGTATGACATAGCACGTTATCTGTGTTAGCAACATGATGGACATGATGACCTAGGACTAGAAATACAGAAGCAGCAGATGACCATTTATGACTCAGAAGAGAATGTAATTGAAACAGTATTTCTTCAGTCTAGTTTTCTCTCCTTCGGCTTATTCATGATCACGGAACATCTGATTGCTTCTGCTCTTGTTGTGTGGCAGAGCTCAGATGCTCTTTCAGTCACTCCTAGTGCAAGGATTTGATGGATGTTGTTAAATGTTTTCCTTAATTTCCTTATTACTTGAGAGCTCTCAGAAAGTTTGAGCAGGTGTTAGCTGTCCCAACAAAGACAGTACTGGCCTGGCTGAGACAGTTTTTTAGACTTTTCTTCTGATACCTTTTTGTGCAGCATCTGACAGCTTGCCTTAACATGAAAATAGAGTGCCTTAAAATGTCAGCCAGGTCCTGCACTTGTATCTGTGCAGTGTCCCATCTCCTGATGTGGGTTCTAGTCCCAGTTACTTCCCATACTTATATTCTCTCATGTGACAATGGGTAACTTTTTTTAAAAGCTAAGCAGGGTTACACCCCCTAACTCCTCTTGCCCTGCCTCACTTCCCAAATGTAATATGAGTATTTTATTACAAGGCTTACTAGACTGTTGCTTGCATTAACTCACAAGTGCTTTGTGTTGCCATTCTCAATTGTGAGATTGTTGGCCAGGAAGGAAAAGATGACAGGTACTTAGGATACAGATAACACTGAGGTCTGGGATCAGTGCCAAACTGTATAAACTCTTCAATGAAAGGTAGGGTAATAGCCTTTACAGCAGACCTGTTTCTGAAAAAATGCCAAGAGAGCAGCCTGTTGAACATGTTAGTTTCCCCTAAAGACTTTTGGAAAGGCCAAGAAGCATTTGCTTACAGGAGGTGGCACCAGGACCTATTGCTGCTATATGCTGCTGTGTGTTTTATTTTGGAAACTTCTCCCTGTGGCATTGCCTTTGTGGGCATGGTAGTTAATCCATGAGTCTCTGAATGGCTGGAGGACCCCACTCCTGTCTTAGGAGCTGTGGTTTCTGTGAGTCCTAAAAACCTAGTCAGATACCATGTATATTTTGACATAAAGTTTTCTTTGACAAAGGTGGCAAATGTTTCATTGGCCTTTTGCCTTATGTCCATTAGATTGAATCATTAGACTTAACAGTGACTAAAGTAAGAGATCAGTGTCAAATTTTTGTGCTTCAACAAAATTAATGGATAACCAAAGAAGTGACATTCTGCCTTTTTACAAACAAAAAAAAGCAAGTGTTTAGATGTTGTCTTTTAAATATTCAATTAATTATACCATAAATTAAAGACTTTATCTACATTTATGACTGGCAGCATTTGCATTTCTTCAGAAAACTTGTCTGTATAGTCTGAATGCTTATCTTTCCAGTTAAATCTATTGCATTGCCTAACTGTAGTGCTGTAAATAACATTTGAAATGTTGCACTATTCAGAATTATTTCTTAAAAGTTGAGGGTAAAAGGTGAGATGTTTATTTTTAGTGTCAATAATACATTGACCATATTATTAATCAATTAGGTTGAGTGACCAGATGTAATTTTCACTCTTTCTTCACTGAACAATAATCCAATCCATACAATTTGTTTGACATTTTCTGACTGTAACATTGATATGAGATGTTAAGCATTTTTAATTCTCAGTGGGTTGCCATTTAAAAAAGTGTATTGCCTTAACTCAGGGGTAAGAAAGCTGCAGAGTATCTTGCTATCTGCAGTGCATATTGTGCTACTTGAATTTTTCAGATTAGCATTATTATTACTAGTTTGGTAGAGTTTCTTTATTTTGTTTTAACTCAGAACATTTCACAGCCATGTAATTAGGTAGTTTATGCAGCAGAGAGTTGTTGCAGTTGATCATAGAGGAGTAGAGATCGTTCATTATAAATTGTTCTTATTCAGGTCTTTAGATCAGATTTTTATGTATATATTATTATAGTTGAAAAGGACTTACCACACCCACTATACAGTGTTTGAAGCCATTTGTAGACCTAAATCCTCTTTTTCCTTGACTTTGTTTCTCAGACCACCAATTCTCCCTAGTCCTTCTCCTTCAAAATCCATTCCAATCCCACAGCCCCTCCGACCAGCAGATGAAGACCATCGGAATCAGTTTGGGCAACGCGACCGATCCTCTTCAGCTCCCAATGTCCACATCAACACAATTGAGCCAGTCAATATTGATGTGAGTATGAGTAATGATCCATCAGGAATAGTAGATCCAAGTGTTGTGAACATCAGCCTGTTATCTGAACGTGTTGTGTGAATATCTGTGTTAAATTCATTGTGCACACACGAGTGCTGTGTTTCTGAGCTGATCCTTGGTGATCTGTCAGAAGCTTCAAAGATCATTTTTCATTTTGTGATAGATTCTTTTTTGCTATTGAAAGCCTTAAGGACACAAATAAACCATTCTCCAAAAGCAGAACTGCCTTTTGACAGAACATTCTACCACAAACCACTGCTGTTTTATTTCTGAGTTAGTCCCAGGGCTCATGCTGCTCACTCTGGCCAGTAAACACTCTTGCAAACTATCCTGTGTGTTAAACACTTTTCTTTACATGCAAGATAGAGATTTGTAGTATTTGTATTCCAAGTAATATTCCTGGCACTGAAGAAAATTAAATTATTAGTCTGAGTTCAGATATACTGATTGTTCCCTAGGATTGCAAGAACCCAGTATATTTTGTTCTGAGCTTTCTTAACTTAACTTGTTTTGCACACTTCTGAAATCTCTGGGTGGTGAAATATAGCTAATAATAATGGTTGGTTGGTATTAGTATAAGGACAGTTAGGACCTTTCAAAATGTCGGTCCCAACAACCTCTTTCTAATTTTTCAAACATATATAGCTTGTATTTTAGCCTTAAGTCTGCTCTCTAGAAATCGGTTATTTGTCAGGTGAGCAGCCTTTGAAATCTGCCTGGACACTGAGGCACAAAATCTGTTTTGCATGTGAGCTGAGTGAAAGGTGAAACATTAGTTTTAAGAGTGTGGCTGTGCAGACATTTACATATGGTATCTGGCTGTGGTGCAGCTGAGGCATGTCTAGTGCTTTCAGCAGCAGCACAGGTGTATAAGGGAGGAAATTTATTTGTGTAACTAAGAAAAAAAAGCTTTATGATAAAAATGGACATACTGAGGGAAACTGCTAGAATTTTCTACTTCTGTTTAGAAAATCCTTAATGTAGTTTGCTTTCAGCAAAAGACCCTCTCAGTTCACAATGGATTGCAAGTGAAAAAAAGCTTTGCAGGCAGTCATTTCTGAGAAGGACAGATTACACCTGGCTATGCAAATCCAGTGCTTTGATACAAGAAAAAAACCAAAACAGGACTCATTTGACTGATGTAACTCAGTACAGGAAACTGATGTCTCATATTGTTCTGATATGACAGTTCAAATAATTTGTGCCACAAACACTGTAACTAGAACATTTGGTTCAAAGTTTCTTCACACATTTTGGCCAACTTTGTTTTTAATCTATATTTTCATGTCAGCATCTATTCTGGGTGCTGTGCACTTCACTACTGAGATATGATGTTTTAAAGCAACTGATTTTGGGAAGTTTAGTAGTTGTTACAAATAGTTCTTTGGAGTTGCTGCTGTTACTAAGTCAGGATAGGAAACAGCTTTTATGTCATGGACAACATAGGATGTTATGGGTTCTCAATTTGGTCAGTCTCTACTGATTTTTGGAATGTAAATGTCAATACCTAAATTAAACACAGGTTTTTAATTTCTTTACAGGACTTGATTAGAGACCAGGGTTTACGAGGAGAGGGAGGTAAGTAGTGTTTAAACTAATTACTGCATTATACTTTATTACACAACTGCTCTGTCCCTTCCCGTTATCCTACTTTCTTCTACAAAACACAGGCACAAAGGAAAATATGACTAGAACATAAAGTGAATTTACATTTGCTCGTCCATGAACTTAGTATTTGTCTCACAGAGATTTGAGCCATTGCTGGTCATTTTGGGAGTGGGGGAGACAGAAGGAGAAAAAGCTTTGTAGTATTTAGTTTTTTTAGTTTAAAACTTGTTTTACACCGTCACGTTTTTGCTCACATACACATACACATACACACACACACACACACATGCTCCTTCACTCACATGTCTGCACACAGAAACACTACAACTTCCCAAGTGTCTCTCAAAGATTTTTATGGCTGTTGTTACCTTTTCACCTGTGGGAACAACAGTGGTTTTCATTGAAAACGTCAACATGGACCTTCCATACGAACTGCTGCATCCTAAAGCAGCGTTAAATACTCCAGTTCTTCTCCCCCTCTACCCCTGCTGAAGTTGCTGCTTTGCTGTACTGCATGCCTGTGCTACTCTGGGAAGCAGGTTGTTAGGACCTTACACTAAAACCAGGTCTTTTTATGTTTCCTTCAGTAACACACAAAGTCCTAACTCACAGTTAAGTCAGAACTAGTGCCAGAAGATTTATTTTTCTTCACATGTTGTGCACGGGCCTGTTAAGTTACTGCTCCCACTGACTGTCAAGGTCCTGAGAGAGCTTCTTATGTGCTGTGCTTATTCCAATAAACATCATAATAAAATAGAAATACTAGAAATAAAAAAATAAGTGGGGCAGGCACATGACAGTTTTCCCAACTCCAAATCAGTTGTGTCCTACTAATTATAACTTGCTTCAGCCATCAGTAAGGTCTGAATTACCTTAGTGCACTCTCTCCTGTTCTCTAAGGTTTTGTACTGTGGGCTGTGACTGACTTTGTTTCTCCCATGCAAATCTGGTATTTGGGAGGATGCTGCCAGCCTACCGCATTGTGTTTGATGGAGCTGTCTGTAATTCTGCCAGCAATAGGACACTTTTGACCAAGAAATTCCTTTAATCCTGCAAGCTTACTAATTGAAAGTTGCCAGTTTTAGCTATTTTTATATGTGTTGACAGGTGTGGCTCTCCACAGTTTTGCCCATTTTGTCCAGCATTTAAATGTTGTGCTATCATGTTGGTTTTAACTTTTGACCATGAACTGTCTGCTTGGCATCTGAAAACAATTGGCTATTCCCAGTCCTGAAACGGTGTTATTAGTGATTGACTATTTTTTTTCCTTCTAAGTACAGAAGCGATCTATGAATAGGAGTCAAAGCATCCTAGTTATTTCCCATGACTTCTTTCATTTCTTCTATGTGTCTGTCTTTCTGTCTCTGCCTGCCCGTCTCTTTCTCTCTAACAGCCCCTTTGAACCAGCTGATGCGCTGTCTTCGGAAATACCAATCCCGGACTCCCAGTCCCCTCCTTCATTCTGTCCCCAGTGAAATAGTGTTTGATTTTGAGCCTGGCCCAGTGTTCAGAGGTAGTTGGGCTCTTCTTTCTTGTTTTCACCCAAACAAAATAAGTAAAACCACAGATGCTGTTTGTGCCTCACCCTCACACCGTGTGTATGTAAGTGTGTGAGTTTATCAAAACACCTCTGTTTTTTGCTTGGCCTGGCTGGAATGCTTTGAATGTGCTTTTCACACATACTCACTTTCACCTTGACACGCTTGGAAATGACTATAAATAAAATCTGACTTAAATCTTCAAAAGCAAGGAATTTCATAGTTGAGGTGTTTACATGGACCTTAACATAAATGTTTTCTAAACCAAGGTCCTTAGACTGGATTGCAGTGATTTTAAAGACAAAATGATGCCCTTAACTTAGAATTTCCTTGGCTGTTCAGTTTAAGTCAGTTCAGTGCTGTAACAGTTTTTATAGTAATATTCTTTGTTTTGAAAAGTAATCTAGAATATCAAATTTGAATTACAAACATTTCCATTGATATCTTGTTAGGTCTCAAGCTTTTTAGCAATGTGTTATGTCAACCTTCAGCAAATACTTCATTTTGAGACTGTGCTATTGATGCCACATTGGGGCCTGAGATTGTTTAGTTTTTATTTAGTCAGTAAATTTGCACTGAAACACTGTTTGTTTGTGTCCTGTACTATGTAAAATTAGACACTTCCATTTTCACATTAACCGTGGGGGTAATTCAGGCCTTAAGCTGTCAATGGATCTGTTGTATTGCACAAAATCCCCCAAAAACTCTGTGGGATTTCACATGCTGGAGAAACCAACTATTGAGTAATAGCATGAAATGTAAATACTTCTGTCTATACCTGTAGAAATGGTTAGTTCAGTGCATGTAGTGTGGTTTTCAAGGGCTACCATCTTGGCTGTTTCAAAGACTCTCATTTCAGAACATAACAAGAGCATTTTACCTTATGAACTTGTAAAATTCTTCCAGAAGTCTTTGTAAGAAGACAGGTGTTCCCAACAAGCAAACTGGCTCCAGACTGGAATACGTTGCTCATTGCGTTAGAGTCCAAGCTAGTGACTTAAGTCCAACATTATCTGAAGTATTCTACTCTAATAACTTGGAAAACAGGCCATCTGGTATTATTATGAACACATTAACTCCAGTGTTCTGCCATGTGCTGCAGGTGGTTTTGGTGAAGGGTGAATATTGTGCTAGTGTTTCAAAAGAAAGCACATTCTAGTGGAGCTTTTCTATTGCAGAGGAAGTCTGTAACCCAGTAAGCTTGTGGAAAATTGCTCATGTTCTGGGAAGATCATACATTTAATCCCATGGATGTGTGATTTCAGATGAATCATATAATAAATACATGACAGGATAGTGACCGTAACGTAAACACAAGTCCATCAAGGGAACTGGCTTTCAGCTGCTTCTAAATGTAGCATCATTACTGTTGCTTTAGCATGTGGGACAGAGTTTACAGATGCTGAGTCCCATTTTTGATGTGTTGGTATGTCATAGTTTTGTGCTTCGACTTCTAAATGCATAGATTGTAGCTCAGTGAGGACAGTGATGGCTGTGTATAGTCTGATAAATTAGCACCCACTGAGCGACTGAACTCGAGCAACAGTTTTAAAAGTCACAAAGTCAATTTTTGAACTTCAGTTGGCATTAGAAGACACTTTTTGGTTAAGAAGGGGCTTTCTGACAGAATATGAGGAGTATTGTCTTCTTCACCTTCCTAGAGCACTGATGTGAGAGAAGGCATTGGAATGTTAGAGGTCTTGTACAATGACATACATTGTTTAGCAGAGCAGCATGAATTTAATTAACAGTTGACCCTATTTTATGTCCTTTGCATTGGAAGGGTCAGCATAACCTTGTTAGGAATAATTATGGTGTCTTTTAAAAAGCAGTGTCTAGTTGAAGTGCTCTATTTGTGAAGAGCCACTGGGGCACTGAAACAGCTCTTAGTGACATTTTCCTGCATAGATTTGTTTATATAACGTACAGGCTACAGACATACTGTTCTTTTTGTGTTTCATAGAATATGCTTCAAATAGCTAGCTAAAGTACTTGCTCTTTTTAATCCTTTCTACAGAATAATACTTATTTTTAAATCGGAGTTCTCTGCTAACAGATAGCTTTAAAACAGCCAAATGGTTTTCAGGTGGCACTTGGAGACTCAACTAGAAAACATTTCAATTACTTGCATTTAGACTGTTTTGATTCCAAAGTATAGTATTTCAGCTATTCATTGGGTTCCTAAAAACTTAGCTACAAGAAATCTGAGAGGTAGATGCTGCTAACTAAAATGATAGTATTTTTCTTCTCAAAGAAACCGATGGAATTTAAAAAAACGTACATTTTAAAATACTTTTCCCTACTTAAAAAGACAATGTCCACCTGATAATTCATGAACAAGAGACTGGGAACTACCTGGTATACAGGGATGTTTGCTATAGACTCATCTCTTCCTCATATCTGACACTTAAGCACTAACCTAGTGTTAGGACAATATTCTTAGTGTATGTTTGTTCCCTCTTAACATTTACATTGATGTTTGGAGGTACTGCATCTTAAACACAATTCTTGCAGCTAATAGCAATACATTTTCACGCTGGGTTCTTACAGATAAAATTATCCTGTTTCTGAAATTTAGGATCAACTGCAGGTTTGTCTGCAACACCTCCTGCCTCTTTGCCTGGGTCACTAACCAATGTGAAAGCATTACAGAAATCCCCAGGGCCTCAACGGGAAAGGAAATCATCCTCATCCTCAGAAGACAGAAATAGAATGGTAAGGGAAACATTAGCTCTTTTCATTCACAGTGTGGTGTATTCATAGTACAGAAATACTACACAACCATGTTCCTCTCACTTTGCTTTCATCAAAGCCTTCTGAATTGTTTTGTAGATGAGTATGGCAATGATCAAGGACTTTAAACCAATAAATAATAGAGTGGGATAATCAGTTTAAAACCACTTTAAACCAATAAATAATTGTGGGACTGATATATAAGTCATTTAAATAATTTACTAAATTCACCTTTCCTCCGCTGCACCCAAATGTTTGGTGTGCTTCATATTGCCATGCCAGTTTCCTTTCATAGAACAGCTTAACTTTTCCCACCTTGGTTCATAAATTTTGAAAGCAACAAATTTATGCAACAAATTTTTATGAAACAGTACATAGAAACATCTGCGTTTTTAAATTTACAATTTAGCATTATGATTGAGTAAGAATGGAAAATTAAATATTACTTTCTTTTTGGTAAGCATTACTTAATATTTTCTGGTTGTAACACTGCCAGAAAGCTGTGGCAAATATTTCATGCCAGGAACTATTTTGGTGTATCTGTGTGCTGAGGTTTTGTGCATGGCTGACTTGAAAAGTAAAGCTGTGGCAAATATTTCATGCCAGGAACTATTTTGGTGTATCTGTGTGCTGAGGTTTTGTGCATGGCACAAAGGTAGTATCTGAAAAAAATATAATTCTCTTAGGGCTTTATTGATATGAAATGTTGATACCAAATCTTTAAGAAAGGAGCAGTTTTCACAGACATTAATGCACTTGCTTTCTTCCTTTTTGTTGTTTATGCACATCTATAAAGAAAACTCTTGGTCGACGGGATTCAAGTGATGATTGGGAGATACCAGATGGACAGATCACAGTTGGACAAAGGATAGGATCTGGATCATTTGGAACAGTCTACAAAGGAAAGTGGCATGGTATGTGGCCATCATGGCAAACAGTAGTGTTCAAATAAGTCACATTGCCTGCTGGGAGACTCCCACTGGGCGGTGCAGAGACGTGACTGGGAATTCTGGTGGGCACCAGGTTGAACATGAGCCAGCAGCGTGCTCAGGCTGCAGAGGAGGCCAGTGGTGTCCTGGGCTGCATTAGGCAAAGCATTGCCAGCAGGTCGATGGAGGTGACCCTTCTCCTCAGCAGTGGTGAGGCCCCACCTGGTATACTGGGTCCAGTTCTGGGCTCCTCGGTACAAGGGAGACATGGACATAATGGGGAAAGTCCATCAAAGGGCTGTAAATACGATTTTTAAATTAATAAGTAGTGTGCTAAATACGTCATGTAAGAACTTGAGATTGTTTAGAAACTCAACTCTTGCATGTTCTTCTGAATTAAGGAGTTATTAGGGTAAAGATGAAACACAGTTACTGGAAAGGCTGAGGTATCCATCTGGATGAATGAGGATTTCAAATGTGCATTTTGAAAGCTTTGGTTTGAATTTGATTTCTCAGAGTAAAAGTAAGAATAGTGTTTTTACATTTTACTTAGTATTTGCTTCTTTTAGTATTATAGTGATTTATTTCATGCAAGCTAGAAAACAAGGTATCTCAGTATTTCTGGTGCTTTATATAGCATTTTCTCATTAGAGGAATATGTATCAGTGGCACTTACTAAAAATTGCTGTTTTAAAGGTGATGTGGCAGTGAAAATGTTGAATGTTACAGCACCCACACCTCAACAGTTACAGGCTTTCAAAAATGAAGTAGGAGTGCTCAGGTAAGAATATTTTTAATGGCATGAAATAATGTGTGTAGATTTGTGCTTCATTTATCACTGAGTTTTAGATTTCCATCAGAACACATTGGTCTTACTCCTCCGTGATGATACTTCAGACAGAAAAAATAACTTGCCATTTAAAAATATTTCTTTGTATCCACTGCGGGTTCTTCTCTGCACACCTGTTATCAATTTATGTGTGTCCAAACACTCAAGACAGGACTGATTTTTGCTATTGTACTACCCCCAGGGCACAGTCAAGCCTAAGTGTGAGCTGTAGGTTTTTCTTTCCCATTTTGAGATTCAAGGAGAGCATGGATGGTTTTGAGCTACAGTACTACCTATACTATTTGTTGTTTAATAGTTTCTGGTCAGTAGCATTAACTTCTCTTTGAGTTGCTTTAAAATGTGTTTCTCATAAAGTCATTTCTTGATTTCCTTTTCTCATGACTTCTGCTTGCACTTTCTCAGAGGAGGTATTTGTTTAGAGTTCAGCTCTTAAAAGAGATCCATCAGGATATGATAGAATATTTATCAGGAACGAACATTACATCCAAGTACAATACTGAGCAGTGTCAAGCATAATTCTGTTTAAAGAAACAAAACAGCCAGCAGGTTTTTGCCTCTGGAAAGCTGATGTGTTGGGCTGTGTGCCTGTGATACAGAAACATCCCCAGTAAGCTACATGGTGAAAAAGAGATGGTCAGCCTTTTTGCCCAGGAAAAGCTTAGTTGCAAAACTCTAAGCTCCTAGTTATGGAAGTAGAGTCTTTCTGGGATATGCTGCTCTGGATGTCTTTTCATATTTTTTTACATAATTCTGACAGAACTTAATGAAATCAAGAATCTTACATGTTAACAAGTCCAAGTTTCTGCTGGGAGTCCCATAGCTGGAGTCCAGCCTCTGGTTTTTGATCACTTCAGCACTTAGGTAGTGAGTTGTTCTATCCTTTGACCCAGACAGGGCAGATTTACCTGTAGTTGTACCTTTTCCATTATGCTGCATTCTTACCTTTGAGGTCAGATTTGGAAGAAAACTGCATATTTCATGTTTCCTCAGCAGTTACTCTCAGCATCACTTGACAAGTCCTTGAACTTGGAAAAGGCACAGTCACAAAGTGTAGAGCTGTCCCAGTCTGCATTGATGTGAGGACAAAGGGATTCACACTCTGGGCTCCCATGGTAGTTTTTTAATACAAGAAAACACAAAAGACCTTTGCTCTCTTCCACAGCAGCATCAGCTTAACAAGCTACCACGGGTTTTAAGCTTGATCTGTCAGTTTTCATCAACAGTGAGCTGACTGCCTTCTAGACCAAGCTGTGTTGGAAGAAGAGGGCCTTTGTTTTTCCTCAGCCCCTGGGTAAACTATGAAATACTCCTTAATTCTTAGGTGCCTCATCTTTGTAAGATCTCATCGGTATGTTTGGAAGTATCTAGTTCTTCCTGTCCATTTGATGGCAGTAAGAATGTGATTGACTTGTCCTGGAGGCTGAGAAGAGTATTTCAGATTTCACAGTGTATCAGTAGATTGCTTCAGGTCTTGAATCTGCTGGGATATCTCCTGGGATAATCCTGTCAGCATTGTTCGTTGTGAACTCTTTCTGTCTGGAGTTGCTCGTCTTTGAAACAGGTTCGATTTAATCTGGCCAGATCTCTGTGGGGAACTCTGGTTTCTCCCAAGTGCTGTTTGGAAACAAGTTCACATCATAACCTTACTGAGGTATAGTTTTCATACCTGTTTCCATCCTTTCTTGTATACTGGATCCATAGAGAGTACAAAATTCTTGTCAGAAAAAGCCCTAAGGGAAGCTGATGGCTTGTCATAGAAGTGTGTTGAGGGTATCTGAACAACAAGGTTGTCCTTCCTGGAAGCCTCTGAGACTGGAACTTCATTTTGGATGTCTGTCTTATGGGCAGCCACATCTTATAGCTGGGCCAGGGTCAAAAAAGACAAACCTGCCTGCAAACCACTGCTGGCCATGGGGACCTAGAGGTAACAGCATCTTTCTGGGCAGTCCTGTGCTGTGTTGCTTGGGGGAAGCAGTGCTGACCCCAAAGTAGGTATTCTGTGTCATTATGATAGCAAAGGCTAATGTCTGGAATAATTTGTTAATCTAGCAAGATTGTGAGAAAAAAGTTTTTTACTGTGAGAGTGGTGAGACACTGGCACAGGTTGCCCAGGGAGGCTGTGGCAATCCTGACCCTGGCAGTGCTCAAGGCTAGACTGGATGAAGCCTTAAGCAACCTGATCTAGTGAGGAGGTGTCCCTGCCCATGGCAGGGGGTTGGGACTAGATGGTCCGTAAGGTTCATTCCAACCCTTAAATTCTATGGTGATTCTGAAAGGTTATCCTGTTATCTTTGTAAAAGTTGAGATTGACCCAACAACTTCTGTTTGGAAATATGTATGTAGATTGTGATAAATCTGCCTGGGGTTTTTCCTGATTTCCTGATCTGCCTCACTTCCTCCTGAGTTTTATGTTTTTTTCAACAGGAAAACACGACATGTGAATATCCTGCTTTTCATGGGTTATTCAACAAAACCCCAGTTGGCTATTGTTACACAATGGTGTGAAGGGTCCAGCTTGTATCACCATCTACACATCATTGAGACCAAATTTGAAATGATCAAGCTAATTGATATTGCACGACAGACTGCACAAGGCATGGAGTAAGTGTCTTTTACTTGTCTGCAAATGGGCACTAGGGCAATGTTGACTTGTCTTCTTCCCACCCTGGCTGGCTGGCAAACAAGGACAGCTATCTGCTCACAGGGTCCACTCTCAAAGCGTTTGGTGAGGTGTTTACTATTCTGATTAGTAAAATAGAATTTTTGTCCTTTTTTTTTTTTGGAACATAGGGAAATACAAATCATCAAGGAAACACAGTCTTAAATGGTGGAATCTTTACAAACTTCAGTGCACATAGTCATAGGGTAGGAGGTAAAGCATAGCTTAAAAAGAAACTCCCTGTGAATGAAAGGACAGAACTCTGTAAGATGTGCAGAGGGCAGACAGCCCAGCCCTGTTATCTAAAAGAAGCAATTTTTTTGTCCTTTTCTCTTAACTATTGTAACTCTCTAAATAACAGATTTCAGCATTTGAAGAAAGCTTACCTGTTTTGTTCTAAGGTTTGGAAATAATCCTTGCTCCCATAGATGGCCATTGAGTGAGAATTTACCAAACTAGCCCAATACTGTGTGTGAGAATCAGAACACTGCTGCAAGATCAGAGAAATCGCCCTCCAGCTGAAAAACCACGATGATGATTGCAGTTCATTGTGCCATTTTTCTACTAAGTATTCTATTACATTTTTAGTCAAGAGGTGGGGAGGTGTTTGCAGAAACCAGTCTCAGCCTTCTGTTAGCCTGCTCATCTCCCCAGGCCCCATCTGTAGGTAGTGGAGATGCAGAAGGTGTTTCATGAGCATGACTCAAAGCAGAGAAATAAATTGGGGCTTTTCCAGCAGTTTTGTGCCAATCTCATTGACTAAACAAAGAGCCCTGGGAGGCTAGTTGCCTAAATTAGGCTATATCTATGCTCTGGGGCAAGTACTCTCCTCTGTGTTCCCTGCCATCTATTTATCCAGTCTGCAATCAGGGCATCTTTTTTTCACTGCTGTACTAAAAAGCAGTCAGCATACCTGAGTACACACTGAGACTGAGAAGCAGATTTAGCTCTTGCAATTTGGAAACACCTTACCTGAGGCTGAGAGCAGCCTGCAGAGTGTTGGCAATCACCATTAAGGTTGGGAGGCTGAACTTTCAGCACTGAATGGCATGTTAAAAACTATTGAAGTTCTTTTATTTTTGTGGTAAATATTGAGTTAGAATTGGAAAGCAGAATTTGGAGCAAAATTGTTTCATTTCTCAGTAGCATCAGGTTTTAGCTGGAAATCTGAGCTTTATTTTACTTTTGGGGTTTTCTTCCTGTGAATGTTGCAGGAACTGTCATGGGTAGCTAAAGTTTTACTACCTTGATAAATATGTGCAGTTTGAATTTGTATTTCAGTAATATAGTGAATTTTGAGTTGCTGATCAGTAAAATATTATTTAACCCATCTAATCTATTATATTCCTTTTCAGTTATTTGCATGCCAAGTCAATCATCCACAGAGACCTCAAGAGTAATAGTATCCTTTCCCAGAGAGTTAATTCTAGAATGTGACATTATTCCTGGTTTCCTTTTTTTTTTTTTTCTGCCAGAAATTAACTTACTGATGTGAAAAGCTGTTCATGTGTGAATATTTTCCAAGTAGAAATTTCATTGGGAAGGGGTAATATCACTAGTAGCGAAATAAGGGATGTTTGCTGTGTATTGATTTGATTGCAATAACATTGGAAGTTTTGGGGTGGAATCACAAAGATTTTTTTTTCCATCCTTTGGTTTCTACATGTAGTGAAAGATTATTCCAGTTCACTCATGGAATATTTCCAGCTTTACTCATACTTGGCATTTCAAGAAAGTACTTGGCACTTCAAGAAAGCCACCTGGTCATGGTCTGTTCAGCACTGGCCCAGTCATTACTTGTGAAACCCTTGAGTGCCATAATTCACCATGCTGGCTGCTTAGAACCTGTGTGATATGAAAACCTCCTTCAGGGATGGTGAATGGTTAAAACTGTCATGTTAATGTTGCAAATTTGTAGCTGTTAATTGTTCTTGTAGGACAGGACCAGTACTGTTTGTCTGCTTTCCCTTAACATTTCCCTCTTAGATATTTTTCTTCATGAAGACCTCACAGTAAAAATAGGTGACTTTGGTCTAGCTACAGTGAAATCACGATGGAGTGGATCCCAACAGTTTGAACAGTTGTCTGGATCTATTCTCTGGATGGTAAGCAAGGGGGAAGTGGTGAGTTTGTTTCAACAAATGACATTGCCTTTGGCCGTAGTTTCTACAACTCTCCCTCCAGCCCACTGACATATACAAGCTGTCTTAAGCTGGAAAAGACAAGCAGTAATATGAAGTACTAAATGAATGCTTTACAATTCTTCTCTAAGCATGTGTTTTCCAGTAGTCAGCAAAAACCCTTTAGTGTCTTCATCCTTGTTCTGAGGTTTAAACTGAAAAGCAAACAGTGTCTAAGGAAAAGGGGTATCATTAATCCAAGGTTGAGGAGAAGGTGAGAAAAGCCATGCAAAACATCCTGCAAAGGAGTAGAGGCACTAGCTCTGCTAAAAGTAAGATGTTCTTAAATTTTAAGGATTCAGGCATGGTTACTCCATACTACCACCTTCTGTGCAACTCCACTTTCTCCTTTTCTCCCCCGAAAAACTTACAGCTCTGTTAGTTGGCAATGTTTTCAGTGTTGTTACAACTCTAGTTTCCAAGTATCTTCTCAGCCCAGACAAGGTCATCTTGCTCTGTCATAGAGGAGTAAAGGGATCACCAAGCTAAAATGAACCAAGGGTTTTGAGGGTCGTGTCAACGTTCGCTCTCTAGTAGAATCCAGTGACTTCTGAAGGCCAGAGTGTTGCAACTGTTATGCTCTGGGCAAGTCCATGTTTTGTTCCTGGTATGTGAGGTGCAGTGTGATGTAGAGAAATAAAACCTAATTCTTCCCTTTTGTGGTACAGGCACCAGAAGTTATTAGGATGCAAGATAAAAACCCATATAGCTTTCAGTCGGATGTGTATGCGTTTGGGATTGTTCTTTATGAACTGATGACTGGACAGTTACCATACTCAAACATCAACAACAGGGACCAGGTAAGAGAAGGGATTGACTTCAATCAACTGTGGCCTGAAACAGAGATAATTCAGCCTTGGGTAGTGCACCTTCTGAAGTTGTGTGTGTTTGATGTTTCCAATTCTGATGTTGTGAGATGACATTTCTGCATTTTGCAGATCTGCCTCAGCCACATAGCACCAATTTACTTACTTCTTTGGAGGTATTTTTTGTGTTCTTTTTTTATTTTAAGTATAGATTTTCAGCTTCTGAACCTGAAACAGAGATAATTCAGCCTTGGGTAGTGCACCTTCTGAAGTTGTGTGTGTTTGATGTTTCCAATTCTGATGTTGTGAGATGACATTTCTGCATTTTGCAGATCTGCCTCAGCCACATAGCACCAATTTACTTACTTCTTTGGAGGTATTTTTTGTGTTCTTTTTTTATTTTAAGTATAGATTTTCAGCTTCTGAACGCCAGGATATTTTTTTAGAGCAGGTTACTTAATACTAATCTAGTTTAGAATAGTTCTGCAAGGGCGAAATGATCCTCCATGTATGTGTTCAGTTATTCCTCTTTCCCCCCAGCCCTTCACAGGCACTGAATAAGAGGATTGACAAAACAGAACAGCAATTGTCTTGCTGAATGTTTTATATTCATTTCAATCTTGAGAAATGTGTGCACCATCTAACTGAATTTCAGGATATCAGCATTTCTCAAATCCTGCTTGATGGAGTATATGACTTCCCAGAGTGTGTGAATCCTGTAAGAAGATTACTTAATTGTGAGCAAATACTCCTTATGTCTCAATGATTCCACAGGCTTGTAATCTATCTCCACAGGACGGGCACGTTTGGGAAGGCATACCTGATTCATTATTTCTGCCCAGCCTGAAAATAGTATCTATGCATCAAGATCTGTGGTGTAAGCTGTTCTGTGTCTGAGCAGTGATGTATTTATGTTGCTTCTGTGTCCTCATCCCTTGTTTTTTCACCGTCAGTACTTGAGAATTGCAACCATAGCAACGTTCATCTGTGAATGCCATTTTATGAGGCTGCTTCCATATCTGCCAGAACACTTCATCCCAATTCATCAAATCTGGAGTCACTCCTCCTTTTTAATTTATTTTTTTCATAATTTTGGCTTTGCCTTTTGAAAGAAGGGAAATGTCTGGATTCCTGGCCAGATGGGCCCAGCCTTCTAAAAACTGTACTCAGCATTGTTTTGCTGTTACCTTTTGAGATTTGAAAGGTGACCCCTGTGATGTGGGTGCTCACAGTTAAGTGCTGAAACAAATTGTAAATTGCAGGTGAAGCCAACACTAAAATGTGATCTAATGTCTTGAGTTTTGTCACTCCCTCTCTATTACCTGTAAATATTCCTCACTTTTTAGCACATCTACATCAGCTACTGTAACACAACTAAGATTCTCAGTGAGCAGAGCATTATTCTTGTTACACCTTAGAGTGTTTCACCTCAACTGGTTTTTGTAGACATACTAGGACTGTTTGTAGTGATATTCTCTTTTTGCTAGTTTGAAATAAAAGTTTCATCCCTGTATTATTTGTAAAGAGAGTATTTAAAACATAAATAGTAAGGAATTTTGAATAATTTCAACTTGTGTAATTATTTAGAAAATCCAAAGTTCTAGGTGATGGTAAGTCCCATTGCAGCAGAGGTAAGGACAGGGCAGACAAGTGTCTACTACAAAATACTTCTCTGGCACATGGGGATTTCTAAAGAAACCCTATGGGAGTTTTATACTCCTCCTTGATGCCAACACAGATGTGACTGAATCAGAAAGTTGCAAAAGGACCAGGACTGTGTTAGCATATATAACATGTATAGCATGCTTGAAACATGAGGGGTGTCTTGGTTTTTTCCCTGAGTGTGAAGATCTGAAATAGTTCCAGTTCGTTAGATAGAAGGTGTGATACACCTGCTGGGTCTGTGTGGGTATTGAAAAAAGGCAGTGATCACCTGCTGCAGCATGAATGGATCTTTGATTAGCTGGTTTGGAAGGGCTGTTTGGTGTCAGTGCTCAAACCACATTGCATTCAACCTTGGCTTGACCTGATGATGCTTGATGGTTTTTTTATATATACAAGAGACCATTAACCATATTTATGCTTTGTTTTCCTGCTTCCAATCAGTTTGCTTTGCTTTATGCTTCAGTTTTATCCTTAGGTGAAAAATAAACCTTCCCTGTTCAAAGAGTTACTGTAGAAAAACAAGGCCTGTCTGTTTCCTCTTCTGCAGAGGAGAGGCAGTTTCTCTTTTTCTTTTGTGTTTTTTCCTGGCCATGGGGGAGGTGGTCACATGTCAAGAATAAGCTTTTGTGGTGGAAAAGTAAGTGACAGAATTTATTCTCAAAAGGTAAGGGGGTTTAATATCTGAAGTCCATGTGTTCCTTAAAATACCTTTCAGCGGGAACTTGCTGTTGACTTAGAATATAAACCAGAATGTTTCTTTTAGCAGAATATTTATTTTTAGACATTCTGTTCCTGCCACAGAGTTGCTTATTCTTGTTTTTGTCACAGTTTTTGACACCGAAGAACCGTTCCTTAGATGGTTATTGCTATAAATGGTAACCATTTACTAGTGTTCAAGTTTCACAGAAATCTCACTTAGGAGGAGGAGGAAAGATCTAATTTTTTCTCTGTACTGAATAGGTTAGCAAGAATTACTCTAAGAAATTTGGCAATTTCAATACCAGATAATGTTTGCTGGGAGCAGAAAACTTGCTGCTGGAACTAAAATAGTATAGAAAGATGTTCACCTTTTGTCACTGTTTGTTCTATGAACTCAACTTCTTCCCCTTTCATCTTTCTTCCCCTTAAATAAAGATAATTTTCATGGTGGGACGAGGATACCTATCTCCAGACCTCAGCAAAGTACGGAGCAACTGTCCAAAAGCTATGAAGAGACTAATGGCAGAATGCTTAAAAAAGAAAAGAGATGAGAGACCCCTTTTTCCACAGGTGAGAAAGGCTCCTCTTTAGCTATCAATAGCCTTTACAATTCAAAGTTATCAACTCAGTGGCCAGTTCCTAATGGTTTTGGTCAGTGCTGTAAGAGCACTGGTCCAGTGGCTGGTTAGTACTGTTTAATTAGAAGTGCTTACTTTAATTTCAGAACACAGGTATTAAAATGACCTGTGTATTTTAAAAACATTTATATGTTGGAGAGAGTTTCAACTGGGAGACAGTGAAATTAATAATTACAGTTAGACTCACAAATTGGTGAGGGTGGTGAGACACTGGCATGGGTTGCCCAGGGAAGTGGTGACTGCCCCAACCCTGGCAGTGTTCAAAGCCTTGAGCAACCTGCTCTGGTGGGAGGTGTCCCTGCCCAGGGCAGGGGGTTGGGACTAGACTGTAAGGTCCATTCCAACCCCTAAAAATGCTGTGATTCTATGACGTTAGAACTTGGTATATGTTCTCAGAAACCTTTATACCCCCTTCTTGCTCTACCCCAAGCTTTATGAAGGGAAACTGATAGTTTTGCCACAAAACTTGGTTTTCATCATGTCTGCTGAGGAAGGTTTGCGTTCTAAAAGCTCGTGATGGGGGGAGTCTGATTTTTTTTCTATTGAATTTAAGCAAATCGTTTTCAAAAACAAGGAGCTCCCTCTGCTGACTTTGTGGTAAATGGTATTAAGCAAACTGCTGCCAAAGCTGGGGCTGTTGGCAGCGATGGCATGGAGAGGTGCTAGTGCATGGACAAGGAGCCAGATAAAAAGCAAATACTCCCTGTGCTTACTGAGGGAAATCAGTATGTCATCATAAAGGGAGAAATGCTCAAACTGGCCTCTTCAGCTTTTTGGGAATATAAACATCAGAGTGGAACACAGTAATCTGTTTCTTAAAATTCTGTTTTAAGTAGCGTCTAAATGGGTTTTGTGTGTTGTGCCTTTGGGTTTAAGAGGGAGTTACAACTTTGGAATGGCAGGTTTGATCCCTTTATTTTCTCCATGTTTTAGATTCTTGCCTCCATTGAACTTCTGGCCCGGTCGTTGCCAAAAATTCACCGCAGTGCATCTGAGCCCTCATTGAACCGGGCTGGCTTCCAGACAGAGGACTTCAGTCTGTATGCTTGTGCTTCTCCAAAAACGCCCATCCAAGCAGGGGGCTACGGTGGGTTCCCAGTGCACTGATCAGAACTGTGCAAGCATGTGCCTGTGTGTCTGTGTGCTGGTGTGTTCCTGTGAGTGCAGCACGTGTACGGTCTCAGTTCCTACCACCTGTGTTTGTAAGGTTTACTGAGGAAACAGAGACTCCTAACACTGGGCATTGAGTGTCCCAAGCACAAAGTCTGTGTTAGTAAGGAGTGCCCTGGGAACAGCTGGCACAAGAAGAATTGTAACATCACATAAGAGACATGGGAAAAGTAACTTCAAAACAAGCAGAAACCTCCTTAAACCCATCGAGTGTCATTTTTGCCTGGTTTGTTGTTTGGAATTAGTTACTCAGGAGTGCATTAGATTTTAATCTACTCAAGTTATGGTGGTGTGTTTGGGGTTTTTTTACTTCAGTTGAGGTCATTATATTTGAGCAGTAATCTTGAGATTCTTCAATTAGTAATGCTATTCATATCTGGGAAGCAATTGGAAAAATAGACTTAGCTTCAAGGCTGAACACAGTCAACACTTCTTGTGGTCAGCAGAAGTGAGCAGATACAATACAGAATGTAAAGAAAGCCCTGAATGGCATGTGACTCTTACTTTGAAAGCTGAAGCTTAAAATAGTTGTTTACAACCGCTGTTTAGGGAACATCTCTTCCTGCAGAAGAGTGGTGGCTTGTTTGGTTTTTGCCCTTTATTTTTCCCTAAACATTCTGACCTGCTCTAGTTTAGACCATCCCTAAAGGTTCTATTACAATGCAACACAGAAAGAGTTCGGAATTGGCTTTTGCCTAACTACAAGACTATTACTGGTAATGGTGCCTGTGTCCTTCAATTAGCACAGATTTCAACATTTAAACAAGCATTTTAAATCTCAAGCATGACTGAATACTTTAAGAGAAAAATGCTGCTAACACCCATAATAGGAAAAGAAGATTTGAAAAAGCAATTGTTTTCATGGAGATCAGTGTTGTACCACAAATTCTGTTAAGGTGGAAGGTTTTAATTATTTTAGTATTGTTAAGAATGCCACTGAACTGCTTCTGCTCAGTGACAAATGGATTTTTTTCACTGCTGTAGAAAAGCTGCTACTTTGACTAGAGGCGAGTCAGACTAGATCTCTGACTGAGAAAGGTTAGACACCGTAGCACGATCCTGCCTGCTCACTTGAAGATTGTATTTTTCTCTGGAGCATTGCTGTGGAACAGGTGAATCAGTTGTGCTTCAGGTTACATCAGTCTTTGATGTTGGATACAAAAACAAGATGTACTGACAGTGCTGTTACATGTTTTGAAATGAGTTGTGTGGTTTAGTTTGGTTTGAACTGCTGAGCTAGTAATTTTCACAGATTCTTCTGCATCAGAAACAAGTTGTTTCTGCACTTGTTAGGACTTTCAGGGCCAGGACTGTTCTCAGTGGCTTCTGATTGCCATACTCATTGAGAGGTTTACATGTTGCTAGTAGTAGGTTTTTGAAATAGATCAGAAATTCCAAAAAGGTTTGGTTTTCTGCTGTCTGGAAACTGAGTCTTTTAAGACTGGGAAACAGATTTATAGAGCTTGAAGAGATGTAGTCAATTTCTGCATTTTCTGACTGGATTCTAATGGTCTTTTTGACTTCTGCTGTTGGAACAGTTTGGGAGCAAATTTTTCTCATTTTCATAATCCCAAAAATTTAGCTGTTGAATTCCTTTCTATTGAAATAGTTGTGGAGGACAATGTTGTTACTGTTTTAGAGAATGTTTCCCATCTACCTGGGAGTTTCGCCTCAATTTGGCAGGCTTACCTTAAAATGGAAACAGGATTTAAGTGTTTTCCACTCTGATTCTTTTTTTCATGTATTTATTCTAGACAGTGAGGAGGAATGTTTCCTAGGCTTTGGAGTATTGTTTTCAGCACAGGCTGCAATGCCCATCTCAGAGCAGGAGGTTGTTACTGGGTCTCCTGCAGAATCTAGAAATGTGGCATCCCACACAGAAAAGTCTTAACCATGTGGGAAGTCACAGAGAGTGCAGAACCATCATCACTGCCCTGCCCAAGCTTTCTCTGTTTCAGGTCTGCCAGATCAGTTCAAACAAGTTATTCCTTGGAGCAGTATTATCCTCCTAGTTGTTAAGTTATGGGGGAAAACATGCTGGTCCCATTTGCTGCTGTATGGGCAGTGCATTAGACTTCTTCATGTGTCACCTGTTTTTACACATCGAGCATGATTTGGGGTCCATGGCCATAATGTGATTTTAGCTTCCCCCTAAAATTTTTATGAAGCCTAAAGGGATTTTGTGGATCAGTAATTTTATCTGGCATGAAGGCATTTAGAGGTTTGACTTCTGTAATTTGTTATGGCTGATTCAAAGAGATTTGGGAACATCTGTAGGATGAAGATGCCTAACTACACCTGTGGTGTAGGTTCTCAAAGGTGCAACTCAGCTATATTCTTTAGAAACAGATACCTATTGGTCCTGAAAACAGGTCTGTAGGCTCCCAGGCTTTTCTGGAGGAAGAGTTTATACTAGATGAGATTCCTTTTTTCTTTATTTCCCTCTGTCTTGGTATAGAGGCAAAATCTGTCTTGATGCCTTCTAGATGTTCCAAAATTTTTATTTACCCAGTGAGTGGTATCCATACAAAAGATCAGCACAAGATCCAGCAGAAAACTGCCTCTTTTTTTCTGTGTCTCTGAAGGTAATCCAGGCAAGGTGTTGGAGTCTGGTGTTTGCCTTTGAAAAATCACTCTCTATTTCAGTAGGTAAGGCTGGCACAAGCCTGGAAGGGAACCATTCTTCTTGCAATTTTTGTGAGGAACAGGCATCTACCTCAGGATAGTAATGTTAGGATTTTGTGTATATACCTCAGAAACCTCATGAAGTCAGGTAAGTGATAAATTCGTGAGAGTAGGGAATGGTAGCTGCATCTTTAAATCCGTGCAGGGATTGAGGGCAGCAGGTTCATTCAGAACATGCCCTTATAATATATTGTTTGAAGGCAACATGAAAGGTCTTGATTGTCTTTTTAGTAGAGATTTTTTGAAAGTGTGCATTTGAAATAATTACTTGCTCTGCATGTGAGGAGGGTGAAAAGACTGTAGCAGCTAACTTGAAAGGGCTTTGTAAGATGTGTATATTTTCAGATGCAATCCATCCTTTGGAAAGGAATTTCTTTGTTACCAGTCAAAGCAGGTATCTGAAGTTCTGCTTGGTAAAAAGCAGCTTTTCACATAACAAATTGCTAAGTGTATGGTTTCATGGTGAGCTGATCTCACTTGGAGCAGCCATGGCTCGGCTCCTTACCCTTGAACTGGCAGATGCTCCAGTTCCATGAGTCAGTTCAGTGGGTTGCCCCCCAAGGTGAACAGAGCAGCCATCCAAAAAGTGGTTGGAAAGCTCTCCTTGCCCACCAGCCTGAGCTAGCATTTCCTAGGGCAGCTCCTTGAGCCATCTTTCTTCAGGGTCATGTAGTGCTGGTGTGGCACAACGAGCAGGTCACTGCTCTGCAGCTCAGGTCAGCAGAGAGTGGGACTGCAATAGTCCCAGTTCAGATTAGCATTGACCATTACAGAACTAAGTCCAAAGACTTAGCAGGGCAGAATCAGGATGATCCTGTTCCCACAAGACAGGGCACACTGAGTCGTGTTCCTAACACCATCTTCATTTTGCCCATTCATTGCTCTCAGGCAGGAGCTTGCTGTCCTGCAAGAAAATGCTGAATTCACATTTCATGTGAATTCACATTTCATTTCATGTGAATTCACATTTCATGTGAATTCATTTATCTGTATGCAGCTTAGTCTCAGGAAGAGTTTGTCTCTCCTGTGGTTTTCTCCCGCTTTCCTCAGATGGGATTTCTTTTGGATGATAAAAGAGCCAGCTATAAATATTTTACATCTTGGGAACAGAAAGGGTGTCATGAAGCATTTTAGCTCCTCCTCAGAAAGTCCTGTCGACACAAGTGAGATGGAAAGTTCCTGTACATGGGTAGGTGTAACCATCTACATTCCTCATCCAGGGAAAGCTGTTGCTGGCAACCACATTTTATACACATTCAATCAACATAATCCCATTATTAGATGAATATGTTACCTATTTTGGTCTCCTATTGATTTGAGATCAGATTAGCACCTGAATTTTGAAAGGAGAAATGTAGCATTAGCTTGTCAAAGAAAGTATGTTTGCTAAGGTTTTATTTGAATGGCAAGAAAGTCTAAAAATTACCTTTTTTCAGCTACCATTCTATCTGAAATAATTCTTGACTTCTCATTCTGTTTTTCCATTGCCCTTTCCTGATTAAAGGTTCATCTTTTTTCTTCTGAAATCCCTATATGACTATTAAAATCTGAATTATTACTAGAAATGGGCAGAAGGACATGATGAGTAATGAGGGAACAATCTCTTGTTTATAAATTGATCTTTAATCAGCAGCTTAGAAAGGCAGACTGAAAAATAAATTAAGTAGAGCATGGTTTGAAAGTGTAGCTAAGCATGAATGTCATTCTTAAAAATTGGCCTCACAGGCAATACTTGATGACTTTTTTGTCCTCTGAAAAGAAAAAAAAGGACAAAACTTGAGGAGTTTCTAGAAGATACTGTGAAGCGAGTTGGGAGATGGGTGAAATGTGTCAGAAAGAAGCAAGAAAAAGTTATCAAATATTTAAAGTATTTCAGAGCAAGAGTTTGATCTGTTGGTACAACTAGTAAAATAGGCAATTAGATCCTTTTGTTATAACTTAAACCTGCTGCTACAGTCTGTGAAGGTGCACAGAGCCTGAGGTGTGTCACAGCCCCAGCCAGACACTCTTACTTTAGACCTTGGGTGCACTCCCTTTTCACTCCCTACAACACACCAAGTCCTCTCCCTGCTTTCTTCAAGTTCCCTTAGACTGGATCAGCTGTTCCTCCCAGGCCTTTTAGATGCCTTTTCTTCCCCCCCTCATGCAGACTGCTGATGACTCTTCATGGTTCAGTTCTTTAGAGAGCAAGACACTCCATGGAATTAATGCTGTAAGCCTAAAATCTTGTTTGCAGGGATGTTTCTGTTTTG